TCAGGTTGTTAAAGGACATGGTGCCCCGCCTCAGGCAGACGAGACATTACGAGCGCTTCGAATAGCGATTCTGATTCTGGAAGACTCAACACACACAGAAACACTCCTGTGGAGATTCTCCTGAGAGGAAAACACAACATAACACACAACACATACACTTTACCTGCCTCAGGGCAAACGCAGCCACAAACTCCCCCTGTAAATATGGATCTGAAAGGGAAAACTAAGAATTAAATATATAAAATGTGTATAATCGTATCGTTTGAGATGGAAATGAGCTAAGATACATTTCAGAATGTATATAATCTGATATTGAAAACTAAGATTCATCGCATTGAGTAATATTATGGGTATCCATATAATGGGTGAGAGACATTTTTAGGTATGATTTGTGCAGGTTATTACAAATATAAATGTCCAGGTTAGGAGGGAAGAGGTTTATCAGGTAAACTTAAGATTGCCATTTTTGTCTAGTTTGTTTAAGTTCCTATTTATTTTAGTAGTTCTTTAGTAAAAACGTTTGTTGCATCTGTGAAAACCTGTAAAATTTTTACATGAAAAATGAAGAAAATAGACTAAATTTTTCACAAGCGCATATAATATCAAAAGTTCTCATTTTTTAAATTTCAATAAAATTTCACAGTGGAAAAGCCAAATATATGATATAAAATCAAGTATAGATCACTCTGAAAGTGTACAAATTGAAGTCATGCCAAAATAATTTAGCTAAAATGTCAAATGAATAATTTGAAGAGGTGCTGAAATTACATTTTTGTAGATGAGTTGTTTTCTTAAGAGGACCTTGTTGAAACTTTAATTTGTCTTTTTTCCTTGTTAAAACGTGCCATTGAATCATCTACACGAACTTTAAAGTATATTATTCAACAAACAGGGCATTTTCATATCTAATACTACTGTAACATACTCAAAACAGAACACATGACGAAACTTTCAGTACTTAAAGAGCACTAGTCTAAGTCTACAAATCAATTGCTATCATTAAACCGCTTCATTTGCTAGACCTAAATAATGTAATTATGTAATTTCATCTTTCGCACTCCATTGAAACAGTAAAGCTCTGTGAAGTTAATTTGTTATAGCTTGATCCAGCCTTGCGTAGAGCTTTTGGTGAAACTTGGCACACGAACGTTACTCGCACAGTAACAAAGCCTTAAAAACTTGACCCTTCATGATGTGAAGTTATATGTTCTTAAGTATTAGACTGTTGTAATATTTGCCACGAAATTTGGCTGTTTAAATGTGTATTTGGGAAAAGCCGAGTTCCTGAGCATTTCATGTAGCAAATATATCGTAACTGTGATGTTACAGCCAGTCCGATCGCGTATGTGCTATTCAGTGGCAGTTCGTAGTGTGATTGTCGGTGAAAAGCAACGTTTGTGCTTTTGGAGAAATGTATGACTTATGCTGTTTTTTCAGGTGTGTGGTCGAATTTAACGCTCTGTTCTTAATTGACGTGTTAAATACCTTGAGTCCTTGTTGGAGGGACTAGACACAGGCACACACCCCTGCAAATGGGACTTTCGTTTGCACAGTTTATAAAACCACATGTAGATATGTGCTTAGGACTTAAAAGAGTAGTTCACCCAAAAATGTAAATTTGCTGAGCATTTACTCACCCTCAGGCCATCCAAGATGTAGCTTGTTTCTTCATCAGAACAGATTTGGAGAAATTGAGCATCACTTTCTCATCAATGGATCCTCTGCAGTGAATGGGTGCCGTCAGAATGAGAGTCCCAACTGCTGATAAAAACATCATAATAATCCACACAACTCCAGTCCATCAGTTAACATCTTGTGAAGTGAAAAGTTTTTAAGAAGCGAGTCCATCATTGAAGTGTTTTAACTTCAAACCGTCACTTCTGACCAAAATCCATAATAACACTTAGTCCATAATAACTCAGAGTAGGGATGGGAGATATACCGGTAGACATGATTAACCAGTAGAAATTTGTCAACCGGTAGAGATTTTCGACTATCATCTCTATCGCAGTTAGACGCTTAAGTGACGTTGCTGTGCTATGTGGTCACAAAAACTTTGCGTTTGCACATGTTTTTAAGCATTGCGGTTTAGAAACAAGTGATTTTAGGCTGTTGAAAAGCAATCAGCAGCTAAAGAGAACTCATTCCGCTATATGTGCGCGCACTGTCTGAGAGTTTCTGAGCCATCATAGAGCGTGGGAGTATTGAACGTTTATTGAGTTCATTTTTTTATTTTTATTAACGGTTATTGAGTTATTATTGCCGCTTTATAGCCCTTGAACAGTTAAATACACACTGTCAAAATGCCCGTCTTTGCAAGTATCCTCGTAAACACAGTTATTTAGGTCTTAAGTGAAAGCAAACATCTGAGAAGCAGTATATTGTGTAACAGTATATTGGATCCAGGCAGCTCTTAAAGTGACAGCAGTCTAATATTCCTACTGTCTGTCATTCATGTTAATCAAGCAGCAAAAGAGAGGAAATCTCTAACTGCTCTTGACAAAATCACTTTTGTAACTTTAATAATTTAATAATTCAATAAATTTAGGTTAGTATTAGTTTTTTTGTGATAGTGACACTGGTGACAAGAATTATTAAATTTATATGCTTTCAAAAATGTTGATATCATAAAGACCTTATTTAAAGCAAAAATAAATATATTGTGATATATATCGTTATCGTGAAATAAAGTTACTCATATTGATATATAAGTTTAGTCATATCACCCACCTCTACATGTTGGTAACAGAAAAGTCCCTGATTTCTAATTTCTATGTGCAATGCTAGTTCTACAGTAGTTTTTGTTGTATTTCTTGTAATTAATTTCTTATTCTTATTTAATCACTTACTGTTTACTTTTGTTCAGTGAGCTTGAGGTTTTTTTTTTCATTTAGGCTAGTATTAGTGTTTTTTTGTTATATTGACAAGTGACAAATGAAATTTCTATGGTATCAAAATTTCGATATCATCAAGACCTTATTTAAAGCAAAAATATCTATATCGTGATATATACAGTATATCGATATTGAGATATAAAATCTAGAATCTATAATAATGAAAAAAATCCATGTCCTGTTGTCGTCTCGCATCAAAATTCACCAAAATATTCGTTTAAAACTGTTTTGATTTGTAAACGGTGTTTGATCTGTGCATATTTCTCTCCTGATTCAGATGAGATTACTTTTTCACTGGAGAAAGCAATATTATGGATAGAGGACTCATATTTTAGCTGGAGTCGTGTGGATTACTTGTGGATTATTGTGATGTTTTTATCAGCTGTTTGGACTCTCATTCTGACGGCACCCATTCACTGCAGAGCATCCATTGGTGAGCAAGTGATGTAATGCTACATTTCTCCAAATCTGTTCTGATGAAGAAACAAACTCATCTACATCTTGGGTGACCTTAGGGTGAGTACATTTAAATTTTTAGGTGAATTATTCTTTTAAAACTGAGGCCCGAAAATAATATTGGGGCTATTATTTGGTTAAAGCCATTATTTAGTTAAAAACTGAATGCGCACCATTGTTCGAAGAACAAATGCTGACAAAAGCCGATGTAAATCCACATCGGGCTGAATGTCATAAGATACGTGAATGTATATATATACAACTATGTTGCTGTGGAGTACACATGTATATTTACACATAAATGTCTGTTGTCACAGAAAAATGTTTATTTGAAAAATAAAGATATATCCTACAGATTCCTCAAAATTACTGAAAAACAAACTGTCTGTTTTCTTTTTTCCATGAATGTCTTAAAATCCATCATAATGAATGTAAATCACCCCCAAAACAAAAGAACAACTTAAAAAAAAAAACATCGGGTTGATCAGTTTACAAATGATGTGTGAATGCATTTCAGTTTCAAACAAAACAAAAGCAATTATTATTAACAGCAACGTAAACCAGAACATCGTTAACATATTGGTTCCATTTATAATTTGGGTTTCGTTCCAAATTATTTCCAATATATGAGCAGTAGTTACAAGGTAAGAATTACTGGCCATGATTTTTTTTATTCGACTAATCTAATATTTTCAATAAAAGTTTGACAGTCATTATTATAAATAGCTACAGCTAAGCCGTACGAACACAAACACTTTCGAAACTGTGGCATCCTTCATACTGTAAACCAAAAGTAACGACTTTAGTCATCTAGACATATTAGTTTGATTGTGTGATTTTGCGTGTCAACAACCATCAAACGTTTAGCAAGACTATTTCGCGCTAAATGCCGAGCGACTTATTTTCAGCTATTAAACTACTATTTCGGCTTCTAGCTAGCATTTCACCTCCAGCACTTGCTATTTCGTAAAGGAAAACAAACCAGACAGTTCTAGTAACCATCAGAAGGCACATCATGAAACAAGATGAAACAATTGCTTGGCTGAAGACCTTCGTTTAACATACAAACGTACAGATCTCGACAAAGAGCGGAAACGCAAACGTAAAACTATCGTATAAGTTAGAATGAAAACTAGAAGAGACCCATCTATATTTACAAATGTGCAAATGTGTACAGAAAACATCAAATGAGGTTTTTGCTGGCTTTAGAAATTAAACTGTGTTCGCAATGTTTGTCCAGAGTATTGACAATAAAGGAAATTATGTTATGATATGTTATGCTGTACTATTTTTATTATAACATTTTACAGCTAAAACTTCACATTTGTATTTTTTTAATTAAACTACATTTTGTAGTTAAGTATTCAGTTATTTTTAAGTGAAATTTTACACATTGTCATTAAACAATTTCTAATAATTTAATTAAAGGGATTAAATTCGGTCATCATTTACTAAACCTCAAATTGATCGAAACCTCGAGATTCTTTCTTTTGTTGAACACGAAGATATTTTGAAGAAAGTTGGTAACCAAACTGTTGATAGAAGCCACTGACTTCCATAGTCTGGAAAAAAATACTCAATGGGTTCCTTTAACTGTTTGGTTACTAAAATTCTTCAAAATATTCAGAAACTCATCGTTTCAAGTATTAAATTAATAATAAATCTAAATGTACTGTATATTTAGTTCCGCCGCAAATAGTTTTTTTCAGACAGTACTCTGGACAAGCATGTGCGCTTATACTTAAATTAGTCTGATAAATAATATTTCCCTCTATAAAGAATTTTCTCTTCTATAAATAGTCACATAAAAATCAACAGGCAGAGATAAAGATCTGTATACAAAATAAATTAAAAACAAACTTTAAAACAATTGTACAGTGTCATAATATCTGGTGTCAAATCTTCGCTATAGTGCATTTTCATTCCAAAACACAAGTAACTCTAATAATTTTGACGTTTTTCGATAATCGGCAGGCAAATTCAAGAAAATAAAAACGAAACAAAAACCAAGGCCAATTTGTGTTTTTAACACAAAATATAAAAAGAAAAAAGTATTTTATCCTAGTAATGTACACTTTGTTTTTATACCGATATATCTTTCTTTTTTTATACAAATAAAGATAAACTTTTACAGAAATATCTGTGATCGTATTGGTATTTACCTTATCCACATATAGAGCATCTGAAACCCGTGATATAGTGTTAATTCAGGTAAACTTGGCCACTTTTGCCAATTAACGCAATAGTAAAATGTGTCCCAATTTAGTTGAATTCAGTCTACTAGTTTAACGGTTAGTTTGGTCAGTTGGTTTGCGTTCTAGTTCATACTGGCTGGTTTGCGACGTGTGTATTTCACTAAAACATCACACCTGGCAGTTGACTGGTGCGGTACTGCGATATTTAATGTGGATCGTGACCAACACCGAAAATTCCCAGTGTTAGCATCTGCTGGTATTAAACTGTTGGAAATAAACTACCATGCAGAATAAAGCAGACCGCGTGTTTACGTTTCAGCGTCTGTTATTTACATGTGAACGCGTCATTTCATGGAGCCAGTAGTGGAAAGTCCAGTTTCAGTGTAAAAGTGGGGAAATGTCTTCGCAAAGTTTGTTTCCCCAACAACAAGTGCTCTCGCACACACAAATAAACACGCACTCGGTAAGAGTCTTCAAAATGGTCAAAGATGCTTTTCAGAGTCAGTCGTCAGACTTGGTCCAATGATAAAAGTCACCTTCAGAGAGAGAAGAAAAATTGGACGAAGAAAAAAAAAACAGTAGAATGAAGAACTACGGTAATAAATGTCACTACAGTGTTTCCTCCACGCCAGCAGGGGGCAGTGTGCAGTTCTGATTCCCTGCAATCCGCTTCAAGTATGTCAGCCTGAAACTAGTTCAAGTTCGTGCAAAAACAAAAAAATCCAGCAAAAATAAATCAGTTTCTTCTCTTTCCATCCTTCTGTGTTTTTTTTTCGGAGAGCTGCCACACTCCAGCGTTTTCGTTTCGTTTTTTCGTGAGTTTATGGGAATAAAACAAGAGTTGGATTACTCTGAATTCTTTAATCGCATCACCGCACTTTACAACACTGGCACTGTCTGCATTGCGCTATGTAACAGTTCGGTCCTGTCCAGTTAGTCGTATAGAGTTGCCGAAGTGTGCGTGTTATAAGCAGTCCTTGCACAGCGCCACCTGTCCTTTCATGTAGTCTCTGCAGGGACAGATGCGCGTGAGGGACTGATGGGCCCCGGCGCAGCTGAACAGCAGCAGGTCCGACTGGAACACGCAATGCCGCGCCAATTCGCTGAAGGCGGGGACGACGATATCGCTGGCAGACTCCACCGTCTTACACTCCACACCATACCTGCAGTGAAGAAACCAAAGAGAGAACGCTTGAGGACATGACATGAGATCACTAAAGACAGAAAATACAGAACCATGGCAGTACCATGCTTTTTTTTAAAGACAGGTACCATTGTAACATCATGGTAATTCAGACGTGCAGCAAGATAATAACATGGATTAATTGATGGAAAATAATGGAAAATAACATTTATTTAAGTAGTATGTATAATTAAATATTAAAGTAAGCATAACTATAAAATATACATTAATATATTAAAAGTCGGCATGAAACGGAAGTCTTTTCTTCTCTACTGTGACGTATATCCGAGTGAAACAGCATCTGAAATGAGAAGGCGGGACTTGATTTCGTCCTTCGGGAATTGATTGGATCGTTGGAAGTTGGGGCATTGCTAACAAAATGGAGGCAGATCTAAGATGCCAGTTAGTGGTGGGGGATTTCTCTCCACTGGATTCACAGCCGACCAAGCATGAATTTTGCAATGAATGTTTTATTTATTAAGGATGACAACGATGATCAAAGGCACAAAACATGCCTAAACAGAGAGAGAGAGAGAGAGAGAGAGAGAGAGAGAGAGAGAGACTGCCTGAATGACTGAGCGTGTCCTCCATCAGGTTAAGTCATATTCATGAAAAAAAATAGTTTGCGATGTCCTAAGAGTAATGTTGTCGTAATATCCTAATATCTTTTCAATGTTTAGGGGTAACGTACTCCCTCATGACTGGTGTCAGTGCTATAAAGTGAAGCATCAGCTTCAGTTTTTCCCCCTGTCCTTTATCCCAGCGTTTATCTCTCACGTCACTAGCTCCGCCCTTGTGCCATAGCTCGTGACCGGAAGAGAAGATGAGTCGTTTTGAGGGGGAGGGGGAGGTTAACATTTATGATTAAAGATTACGAGGGCACATGAATTAAAAAAAAATTATGAAGTGCACGGATAAATTATTTATAATAAACACTACAGTATTCTATTAAAAAATAAGAATTTTCCATTTTGATTTCATGGTGACTTAATGAAGTCAGCATTGCAGGTCATGCAAACATTTCACAATGGCTTTGATGCATGATGCAAAAAAGATTTGGACTCAAAATCTACACATTTTTTGTTCTGTCAATCAAAATTTGAAACATACAGAAGTACCATGTGCACAGTTTTTGTCAATTTGTTTTACATGCACAAAGAATTTTAAATTTTGATTTCATGGTGACTTTAAACAAATATATATTTGAGATTAAAAAATTGTATTTATGAAAACTAAAAGAAAACTTAATATAAATATGATTAGATAATGCATATTTTAATTTTTATATTTACATATTAAAATCATAATGCTAATAATATTTATATTTAAATATTAAATCACTGTAATATATAAAATACATCATTATATTAATTTATGTAAGGACAAAACTGAATATATATCTAAAATTATAGTTAGAATTAAATATCAAAATATATATATTTTTTGCTTTTCATTTAAGGAAAATGAAAAAAAAAAAAAAAAATCAAACTACGCACTTAAGTAATATTTATAATGAAATACTACAGATATGTATAATGATAAAATATATATTTATATATTAAGCATTAAAATGTATATTTAAAATATAAAAAGTTATGGAAACGAAGTTATGAAAAATAAAGGAAAACAACATTAAATATTAAAAAGCTATTTTTCTTAATTTATGGAAAATAACACCAAACTATTCATCAAATAAGTAATATTCATAATTAAATATTAAAATATGTATAATTATAAAATACATATTAAAATACAAGTGTGTGTGTATATATATATATATATATATATATATAAAATTATATAACTATATATTTAAATATGTATGCTTTTAGTGTATTAAAAATATATATTAAAATAGTAAAACTATTCAAATATATGGAAAATAAACCAATAAATGGTATTTATTATTAAAGATTAAACTATTTATAATTTGAATATATTATAAAACATATATTACTATTTTAACAATATTAAAATACATAAGCATCTAATAAATAATATTTATAATATAATCTATTTAAATATACATTCATATATTATACATAATACAATACAAAATATATGAATATAATATAAATATATATTATTTTACTAAACATTTAAATATGTCAGTTACACTATAAATATATGCATAAATTCATACTTAAATACAACTTTCATTATAAAATAAAACAAAAACTTCTGTGCATTAAACAAATTATAATCGTGCATCAATATCAAAAATAGTAATCTGCACAGGTAAAAAAAAATCAGTAAAGATTAAAATAAAATGAATGAGATTTTTATAATGATATCATATACAGGTGCATCTCAATAAATTAGAATGTCGTGGAAAAGTTCATTTATTTCAGTAATCTGAAATAAATTAACTTTTCCACAACATTCTAATTTATTGAGATGCACCTGTACATGGTCAAGTTGTTTACAAAAATAGTCTAAATCTGATGCAAATTTTGGGCGATTTAAGGCAAATCCCACCACACCACACCTCAGTAGAAGCGAATGAAAAACAAGGATTTAATTCCAAGGAGAAATAAAGGGGCTGTGAAACGCAGCAGTGCCCTCTGCTGTCTGGATGGAGAAGTGCATGCAGCGCTGGTACCTGAACAGATCCTTGTCTTTATTGAGATGCTGGAAGAAGGAGGGTTCACAGATCAGCTGCTCCTCCTGACACACCTGCTTGCAGGATTTACCTGCCGGAGCCAACTTGACCTGCATGGCGCTGAGAGGAGGCCACATCACCTGACCGTGACAGAAATCCTGCGCACACACACACACACACACACACACACACGCACACACGCACACACAGGTTGAACAAGGGCGTATGTTTCAGACAAAGCATGTGCTCTCAGGTATATCAGGTCTGATATCATGCCGTGTGTGAACAGGTGAAGTGGAGCGAATCACACACACCTTAAACCTCCACTAACACACAGTCACAGGTACCTGGTTCTCGATGAAAGCGTGGACGCGCTGTAACATCCCCTCACAGGTGAACTCATACGGCAGATACGGCTCCATCTGAAACAAACAACATGATGTGTATGTGCTTAACTATAGCGAAATATGACAAAACCTCCTTAATGATACAAAGTGATTAATACATAAAGTCAATTATGTTTATGGTTTGGGTTATTCTGTAGTAATTATATTTATATAAAAGCAACAGTATGTCCTCTTTTATGTAGCGTAGCAAATGTGTGTATAGATTTGTCATACTTAAAGACAAACTTAAAGGACAAATTTGTTGAAAAAATGTTCACAAAACTGACCAACACTCCTTTAAAGGAAGTCCTTGGAGAGAAAATGGCTCTTTTTTTTTTTTTTAACTGTAAAAATACAAAATAGAGCTTGTTAGTTGTAGTCTGAAGTGACAATGAAAAGGTCAATTATTAGGTAAAACATTATTTATTATTCCTAATGTAAAACAAAATATGAAAGTATTGATATTATATTTATATTCCTTATTATTATAACAATTTATTATTACTATTATTATTATATCAAATAATACATAAAATAAAAGTAACAATGAATTCACTTTCACTTCTGAAGACACAAACATTATTATTATTATTATATCAAATATTACATAAAATAAAAGTAACAAACAATTCACTTTCACTTCTGAAGACACAAACATTATTATTATTATATCAAATATTACATAAAATAAAAGTAACAAAGAATTCACTTTCACTTCTGAAGACACAAACATGTAATTTATGTGATGTTTAATATGTATTTTTTTTTGTCAAATTCTATATTAAATCATCATCACCATCTTTATTATTATCATCATTATTGTTAATAATGTATTATTCCAACTGTAAAACAAAACATTAATATACTGATATTATCTTTATGTTACTTATTTATAATAACGCAGTTTTATTATATACTATATTTTATATTCCTAAAGATTATATTAGATCAAAATATCATGTATTATGTAAACATTACATAATAATTCACTTTCACTTCTGAGAACTGAAACATGTAATTTATGTGATATTTGTTATTTAAATTTAGCTCAAGTCTATACTATTATTATTAATATATTAGGTTAATATATTGTTATTATATTATATATACAAATATTCCTATGATATTATATTATAACATATTATGTAAAAGTGTTATGTAAACATAAAGAATTTACTTTAACTTCTGAGGAAATAAACAAAAATTTATGAAATGTTTAGATGTAAATTTAGCCAAAACCTACAATAATAACAACAACAACAAAAATGCAAAACTAAATATGTATATATTGACATTACACTTACATTCCTTATTATTTTATAACATTATGTAAATTAAAAGCAACAAAGGATTCACTTCAGAGGACTGAAACAGGTCATTTATTTGAAGTTTAATATTTAACTTTAGACCAAGCCTATATTGAATCTGTCTGTGAGGTGATTCTCTGCAAAACATGAGATTTAGTTAAGAATCAGGGGCCTGTTCCATAAAACAAGTTTACCAAATAAGCCAGGTTTATTTCAGCTAGTCTGACTTATTGTCAGTTGATTTGGTTCAAAATAAGACAGACTAACTGAAATAAGCCTGGCTTGTTTGGTAGATGTGTTTTATGGAACAGCCCCAGGCGTAATTTGTAAACAGGAAGTGCATGTGTGTGTGTACCTTCTGACTGAGGATGGCTTTAATGGCGTTCTCCACCTCTGCGGGATCATCGATGTTGACGGTCCAGACGTGCGGCCGTCCGATGTAAACCTCAGCGTAAGGGTGCTGGGAGGTCAGCTGGGGTCAAAGGTCAAACATACATCAGATACGACCGATTCTGAGCACAAAAGTAAAATAATAATAAGCAAACATAAACGCAGTACCTCTCTGAGTGTGGGTTTGCCTTTGAAGAAATTGGTGTTTTTGCTGCTTTTAGGCGGGTCGAACCTTGGGTTGAGGAAAGCGCAGCCATTGGCTATGGCCTCCAGAGGGGCGGGGCCCTCGTACGGGAAGGACAGTCCCACAAAAAGCTGGAGAACAAACAGACATCATAAAACATGATCATATTACATAAAATATTAAGCAAATTAAACGTAATTAAATTAAGCAAATTAAAACACAGAATTCTCTTCTTTTAATATACAATTTAGTATTCATAATATAACAATTTTAAAAGTTTAAATGGACTGTAAAAATAAAGTTTGAATCATTTATTTGAAATTATAAAAATGTATAATAATGTATAATATTACTATTAACAAAACGGTGATTATAACAAAAATCATTTAAATTATTTATTAGTATTTTAAGTTATTTTTAATAAAATTTGTATATAATCAGAAGTATTAATAATACAATTATTTATTATAATAACTTCTTTTAAGTGTTAAAACAATACAGCATTTGCATGAAAATGTGCACTTTTTAACTTAAGTTTAATACTTAGAGTTAGAAGTCTGTTTAAATTCATACCTATATGTATGAATTATAATAACAGTGAAGCTAAATTCAGCAAACAGCAGCACCAAACACATTCACACACACACACACACACACACACACACACACACACCTGAGCATGCAAACGCGATTACGTGCTATTTACAGGGAATTTAGGCCTGAACAAACAAATGTTTTCTTATAAACCAGGCCTGATTTCCATGTCTAAATCTCATCTCAGCGTATTTTTAGACCGATAGATGTATTTGGTTGATTCCTGAGAGGGAAATCAGGGCTTTCTGGAGCACTTTCAACAAGCTTGCAGTGGGAAACATCAAACAAACGATCCACTGATGGAAACCTGACGGCTGATTCCCAGAGCAAATTTACCTGCAATAAACTCACATCTGCACAGCTGCACTGCAGCAATCACCGGCTCATATAACAATCAACAGTGAGGAGTGTAACAATCACAATAAAAGCACACAGTCTGTATTGCGCAAATGTTTCCATGCGGCCAGCACAATAATGTGTTTGTGAAGAGTGCCGCGCCGGACAGCTGACCACACACCAATCACACTGACCCACAATGCACCAGTGATCTGTCATGCAGTTTCATTTATTAACATTAGTTGAACCTTATTTACTTCACAAAAGAGCTTAACAGGATTGTAAATATGTTGTTTTAATTCTACAAATGCAAACATTATATTACAGTTAGTCTTTAGTATTCCTAATTAACGTTATAAAAAAAAAAAACATGATATATATAAAATAATTGACATTTTACGCATTTAGCAGATGATTTTATCCAAAGTGATAAAGTATATGAATAACAATAATGTAAATAATAATGTATAATATTGGTATTAATATTAATAAAACACTAATCATTCATTTACATTTTATGCATTTTGCAGGTGCTTTTTTATACAAAGCAACATTAATGTATATGTAAATATTAATGTATAACAATTCTAATAATATGAATAAAACACTAATTATTAGTTTACATTTTATGCATTTAGCAGTCTGCTAATAGCAGATATTTTTAACCAAAGCAACAATTCATGTATATGTAAATAATAACATGCAATAACGCTATTACTATAAAATTATTAGATCTATAAATTACTAGAATTATTATTATAAATATTAAAAATATGAACAAATATTATTTTAATTTGAAACAATTGTTTAATTATTTTTCTTATAAAATTATAACAAATTATATATTTTAAAATGACACTTTATTTTTTATAATCTATCTATCTATCTATCTATCTAGATATGTAAATACACACACACACACACACACACACACAGTATACCTATATATCTATACCTATATATATATATATATATATACACACAGATAGTCATTACAACAAATTTAATTAGAATGAATTTATAGATATTATAAAATTACATATTTTATTATTAAAGTGTAACATTAAATATATAAAATATGATGTATGATATTGCTATTAATATTAACAAAACAAAAAATATTAACAAAAAACATTATAATAACTGTTATTTATATGTATTAACAGACTAATTATTTATTGTATTAAATTGCTATATAATCAAAACGATATATAAAATATATGTACTATTAATAAAATTATATATATATATATAAACACACAATATATAACATTAAATATTATATAAACATATTATAATTTAAACTATTAAATATAAATATAATAAATAATCATGTTATTAATTTTTATCATTTATATGTATTATAAAAATACAAATTATATATTTTATTATTGTTATACATTCAGGATGATTTATAATATAATTTAATAATAAGAAGAAATATAATTATTGTGCATAAAAAGTCTAGACTTTTTACTTTCTGTGGTTGAACTTCCATGGTTTACCAGCGGGGGGCAGCAGAGAGGTATTGAAAACAAGCAGGCTTATAGAAAGAAAGATTGAGATTGTGGCAGAAGCACATCAGGCGAGTTCAGCGAACATTTGCATGTCTGATGAGTGACTTTGTTTATTTGCAAATTAGTCGAACGAGTCTGACGACACGTTCACTCTCCCTGTACGTAAATGAAGCAGCCTCGCTCTCTCCAGGAGTTTGCATGAAGTTGAAACAACAGGGAAGTTAAAGTCGAGCTCACAGCGAGGAAAAAAGGCCGAAGTGGGAGAAGAAGAAAAAAACGCTGCCAGACTTCAGAGAAACAGCAGGCCAGCACATCCTCTCTCCTGGTTGAGCTTCATGCCAGACACAAGCCACAAAGTCGTGAAGGTCACCATGCAAGTGCAGTGCAGCTTTCACACTTACGTTTCAAGCATCAACAAACGCTATAAACTCAAAACTGAAGCGAGACACTACTAATAAACAACTGTACAGGCCATATTCAAGTCTGCCAGAAATGTTTTATTGACTCAGACCTTGGTTTCGCGCAGGAGGAACTGGAGGTCGCGTCCGCTCAGGATGCCGTGGTTCTTCACGTAGGCCGGCAGGTGGACTGTACTCGTGCCGTGGACCGTGCCGTGCACTTCCATGTACGAATGAATGACGTCCAAGTATTTCTTTTTATCCTAAAACACAAATAAAAACACGTACACGTGAGAAACCAGTGACGAAGGTTGATGAAATGGAATTAAAGTAGTCTTATTGTAGCACTCGGAAACTATTTTTGGTTTCTGCTGATGTAAGCAAGACCATGTGGGCGGGGCTAAATATGTTTGAACTCAGAATTTAATCATATTACAGTTATTCTTTAGTATTCATAAAACAATAGTATAATATTACTTTAAATAAAAACAAATTATAATATTTATTTATTTGTATTACAAAATTACAATTATACATTTTATTGCATTTTTATATAAATCAAAATACTTCAATAATAATAATAAAAATATACTACTACTACAACAACTAATAATAATAATAATAATAATAATAATAATAATAAATTTGAATTATTATTACAGTTGGTTTAAGTATTCATAATCATCTTTATTTAAAAATGGTCTTAAATATAAAATAATCTTAATATAATATTGATATAAAATAATCATGTATAATATTGCTATAAATAAAACAAATAATAACAAATATTGAATTTTCAAATAATATTTTATTTATTTGCATTATAAAATTACAAATTATTTATATCAAATTATTGGATATTATATACAATTAAATATTACATAAAATTATTTTTATTAGAAAATTGTTATCCAATAAAAATGATCAACAACAATAATAATAATAATAAGCTACAATATTAATAAAATATTATATGGATATTATACTATATTATAATATTATACTATAAACTATATTATACTAATGTGAAGAAGAAACATTATATTGATATTATACTATAAAATATAGTTGCAATATTGCTGTTCATATTGCAAGAACAACAACTCATAATCGTAGTACTACATCATCTTATTTGAAGTCATGAAATGCAGATTTCTGCAGGGATATTTTGTCTCAGATTGACTGATTCAGATAATCTGAATCATATTGAGACATTCTGTTAACAGATTTGCGTGACTGATTTTTTTAGCTCTCAGTGTGAACTTGTTTCAGTTGAGCAGAAGTGCAAAAGCAGACAGGAACAGTCCAACAGGACTCGGGGGGGAAAACCACGAGATGAAGAGGATAAAAGTAAGCTTTTTCTTTACGAACACTCAAAGAACACAAAGACGCCCACTTCCTGTCAGAGGATGCAAACAGAAATAAAACTGGTAGACGTGTGTGTGTGTGTAAGCAAGGTCTCAAGAACAAGGTGAGAGTAAAAACTCAATCATACCAACAAAATATATATCAACCATAATTACCAATAAACCATAATCATCAAAATAAATAAATAAAACATTAACAACATAATAAATTATGTGTATTTTTCTAATAAATTTTAATTAAAAAATTATATATTTTATATTGATTTTAATGTATATACATATATATATATATATATATATATATATAATGTTACAAATGTATGTAAAAAATAAGTGTGTGTGTCTAATTATGTGTGTGTGTGTGTGTACATATATATTAGGGATGCACCGATACCGATACTGGTATTGGTATCGGGCCCGATACTGAGCTCCTGTACTCGTAC